CTGAATATGACATTTAGTTTAGTTTTATATGAGTTTTATGTAATTAAATAGATTGTAGCGCTTGTTATAATAACATATAGTGTTTGGTGTTTAATAAATAAATACAAAATGCTTTTTATTTAATTGCAGTGAAAAATAAAAATTATATTTTTTAATCGACTCATCGCTTATGCAATGTGTTTGCTAGTTGCATTGCGATAATTGGATAAAACTTTCGGTACTATTTAATATGGAGTACAACCGTTTGATTTATCGTTTCGTATAGTCTATACTATAGACACAAAAGGTACTAATTCGCAATGAAAACATAACATATAAATACACACGTCAGTCTAACCCACTACATGAATACAACAGACATATCAAAAACGTGTTAACCGACAGCATAACCAGTAGTCAGTTAACGTGTTTTATTCGCAAACGCCTTCATTGTTATCACACAAGTGTTGACATAAAACTCGTATTGATTTTGATTTTTGACTCAAAAACCGCACATTTGATCGCAAAAAGCACTCAATATATCACACAATCAAACGACACAACCATTTGGTGGCCGACACCCTATCACCTCTACATCTCTACACCTAATCCAGCGATCGGATCCGTTTGGTGAGCGCAATGGCTGAGCGATACAACATCCACTCGCAGTTAGAGCACCTGCAGTCCAAGTACATCGGCACCGGGCACGCGGACACCACCAAATACGAGTGGCTGGTGAACCAGCACCGGGACTCCATCGCCTCATACCTCGGCCACTACGACCTCTGCAACTTCTTCGCGTTGGCCGAGAATGAGACCAAACAGCGGATCAAATTCAATCTCATGGAGCGTATGATACAGCCGTGCGGTCCGCCGCCTGACAAACACGACGATTGATGCCATACCTGTCCCCATAGCGTGTCTGTCCACTCGTGTCTGTGTATATATATAGCATACTATGGGATCCGTTTGATCCATACATACCTGTCCGCAGATGAAGCCATTGATCGCTTGATGTGTTCATCAATTGATTCATTCATTTGATGCCATAGTTTTGGTTCACTTTTTTTGGGCATTGATTTAGCCATCGATTTGTCATTTAATTAACTGTTAATTAGGCGTTTGTTTTGATAGTTATTTTGTTTATTTGATTCAATACTGTATTTATAATTATAATCAGTGTTTAGATAATGAATTCAATTATAGTTACAGTAGTCTTAAAATTTTTACATTCAATTCAATGACACTTTTTTCTCTCACTCTGTATTCAAGCGATTAATGGTTTTTGTTTGTATGCGATTTGAAATGAAATTTACATTTAATTTATCATTTATTTTACAATATATTGCGTAAACCGATTTGTTTGCAAATAAATTAAATGAAATAAAATTTGTAAGTTTATATTTGAAAACAATTGCGTGTGTTTTTTCTATACATTTATTTATAAAGTTTGCCAATGACTGCAGTAATGGTAATAATTAATATATTTTATAATTAGTTGAATCACTGCTTCAATATTGATTGTATTGTCAACGCTATCGGAAAAAATCTTTAGGTGTTTGTCCAAACTGTCTGTACATTTGATGATAATCTGAAAAATAAGACAAAATTATTAGTAATCATAGAAAAAGCAAAATATATCTTCATTTACCGTAAAAAATATTTGTAAAAATTCAAATGTTTTACGAGTTTTGCTCAGTATTATCCAATTTTATGAACACTTATATCAAAATTAAATTTTATTACAGAATATTCGTAAAGAATATTATATTTTTGGTTTAAAATGAACACTTCTGTGGCCCATAACCGGAGGGCTCACCCTCCCGGTGCTGTAATACAAGTCCCCGACTATACCGATCATTCATAACGTTATTGTATATTAATTTCAAACTAACAAAAAGAGTGACAAACATATACTCTTAGAGTCCTATACGGGGGACAGACCTCATAAATATATGGATGAGGAATGGGATGGCATTTTCAATGCGATATTATTATTAATATTAGAAAAGTCTATTCAGATGGAGAGAAGAAGAGAGAGAGAGAGAGAGAGAGAGCGAGAGAGCAATACGACCGTGCTATCCATCTGTTAGGCAAAAGGGAACTCCACTATTGAAAAGCGGAGTACAATATAGGGTTTTACACATCAAAACACATCGATATTTATCTGATTAAAGATAAATCAAAGAAATTAATACTCATTTGTATTGAAATGCGTTTAGAGAGAGACAGACAAATGAAATGAGTTTCACAGTCAGCGCTAAATACAGTACATCTCGTAATTGAGTTACGAAAGTGTTTTTCTGCATATTATTCACTCAAATATTATAATTAAATCAAACGACAGAAAAAACATAAATACAATTCATGTACACCAGAGACACAAGACATGCATAATATATGTTTGAAAAGCCATTTGTCTGATAACTACATGTTCTTTACGGCATATTATGGCATACATGGTATTATGTGTTTATGTAATATAACGGATACACTCGTATAACCTAATAATATAACATTACATTATTTAAAGTATATTATATTTCTTGTAATAAATTGATGGCACACTTGTCTCTCGCGGTTCCGACAGTGCTATCAATGACTCCGACCCCAGATTTCCTGTGAAGATGAGGCATAAGAATAGGGCTTTTGGTGATCATCCGACCGATGCTTATGAGAGATTGCGATGAATTAATTTGATAAGTAATACAAGTAGAGAGAGAGAGAGAGGCAAAAGAAAATGACTTTGTTTTACTGTATGTAAAAATATAATCCATTTTTTGTTTTTGCCTTTTGTTGCATAATATGTGTCGTTCCCATTGGACAGGCACACAGGTCTCTGAAACAATCGATTCACAAAAAAGCGGTTTTGAGAGAGAGATATGATTGCTATGATTTTCAAAGTCATTATATTAGTTATTATAACAGCAATCAGAATGAGGAGAGAGAGAGAGAGAGAGAGACTAGCAGTTAGAGTTAGCACATTTAGGCTATAAATTTGCATAAAATAATGTTTTCCATCGTTGAATATATGGCCAAAATATGAGTGCATAAAAATGAGACACTTTTTAAATGACATGTCTTTATATACTGTATAGTATTTTGTTGGAAACAAATGAATGAAATGAATAGAAACTTATGTAAAGCAGTGTCTCTAATATGATTGACTCAAAATTAGTTGTATATTACTGTTCAGAGACCTGTGTGTCTGTCCAATGGGAACGACACATATTATGCAACAAAAGGCAAAAACAAAAAATGGATTATATTTTTACATACAGTAAAACAAAGTCATTTTCTTTTGCCTCTCACTCTCTCCCAAAGCCTAATATGAATGTGTATTTTGTGGAAACCTTCGGGGAATTTATGTCAATTGAAACCGATTTGATGTTAAGTCGAGTGTATGTTCTTCAGGCCCTATAATAAGCAAAACATTTCTCTCGAGTCTCATAAATATCACTGCATTTTGAGTCCCAACGCAATGGCTATTGTGAGAGACATTGAGTCGAGTTTTGCATTTGAATGCATTCGCTATGAATGAGACCAGAGATGTAGTCGTGTTTCACGTCTTGTTTCATATGCACCACAATATTAGGGCACAGAATATACAGAATATTAGGGGAACTGTAGCTTGAATGCCAGTCCATGCCTATCATAACATGTAAATCACACTTTCTTGCCATACATATCACATCTACACATAAACTACTTTTTAAGGCAAACTTGCAATACATTGGGAATAAAATTGTCACAAATCAGTGACTGATAAAAAAAATAAGTTTAAAACATTTAGACATAAAATGTAAAAATGGTTAATAAAATTTTTAACCAAAAATTTGAAATACAATTAGTTATTGTGTTAAAATGTGACAAATAAATTAGATTCAAATTATAGTCAACTGAAAAACTAGTTTTTTTGATGGATTAAAATCCTAATGATTTCTATTATCAGATAATTAAATATCGATGAGTCTATGAGTCGCTTACATACAGTGTTTTGCAATCAAACTAATTGTGTTGAGTCTCCTTGTGTTCAAATATATTTGATTTGCAATTCAATCAAATTTGATGCCAAAAGTACTCTAATAATAGTCGAGAGGGAAAGAGAGTGAGAGAGACTTTGCACTCATTTGGTATATATCTCTCCGGCGATTATTTAAGGCAAAGAGACTACCGTTTTTACCCACAAATCCTCGCTTAATCTGAATGCCTTTAATTCAGTTATCGCCCCAAAACTGAAGCCCATAGTTATGCGGCCCACAGATTGACTGTCAGCGAGGATTTGTGGGTAAAAACGGTAGTCTCTTTGCCTTAAATAATCGCCGGAGAGATATATACCAAATGAGTGCAAAGTCTCTCTCACTCTCTTTCCCTCTCGACTATTATTAATCGCTTAGTTGTTGATTAATATAGAGTCAACAGATTTGACACATTCTTAACAATATTATTGTATTAACACTAAATGTAAGAATATTTTCTTTAGAGAGAGAGAGAGAGAGAGAGAGAGAGAGAGAGAGAGATTATGTATTAGCAAATGTCTGACTTTATTTAGTAATAGTATATTATGGGTATATATTGTGTGCCTCTTAAGAGAGCTAAAAATGATTGAAACACACAGTTAATACTCACATCACTAAAAGCTATTCCCAATATTGCAAATACACTGCACCACCAAATATATATGAGTATGTATTTGGATATAACCACTTCTGCTGACTCTCATTCCACACGCCTGTCCCTCACATTATATAAGGATTTTGTATTTTGTACGCTCTCTCTCTCTCTCTCTCTCTCTCTCAGCGAATATCAAAAGTTTGTTTGAAGTGCTTATAGTTTTAGTGCCCAACCATTGGAAACCAAAACCCTATGATTATTGTTATAAGTCCTTTTCATTCACTCTCTCGTCAATTGTGATAATGAATAGAAATATGATTTCATTGAATGGTTGGGTATCTGTCATCAGTAGACGTACAGCGACTGGAGAGTCAATCTGTGCCAACATTACAGTCCAGTCTCACTCTGCTTTCGCTCATAAGTACATCGCGTATAGAGTTATAGAGTTTTACTGTAAATATAAATATAAATTATATGTACTTATTGTGGAACCGACGGCTAAAACACCATAAGCGCAGTGCAATTGACGAGAAATTGCAGTGAAAAGGCTTTTAGCTATTGTATTGATTAAAGAGATAACAAATTTGCACAAATGGTTTGTGCGGCACATCCCGTTAAACACAATTGCTTTCAACACTACATCCTTACGACTCGCTTAGTTGTTGATTAATATAGAGTCAACAGATTTGACACATTCTTAACAATATTATTGTATTAACACTAAATGTAAGAATATTTTCTTTAGAGAGAGAGAGAGAGAGACGGAGAGAGAGAGAGAGAGAGCAGATTAATAGCATATACTTAATTTAATTCAAACAAATAAAAACCAATATTTTCTATTAAACAGAGTATTCCCTCTCATATGGAATTAACAGAACAAATGTATTAAAGAATTTTTAATTTAAAAACCTCTTTAATGATCGCCTAATGGGTTGCAAAAAATGTGCTGACAATACACGGCAACAATAGGCTATTAGTTAATGTATCCGCATATCAGTGCCAAACATATTAATGCATTGAAAAGTCAAATACAATCTCTAAATACGAGTCATACGAGTAGAGTATGTAATCTACGAGTTTGAGGACGTTTTGGAGCTATTCTTTAAAAAAATTAAATTTTCTGCACAAACCTTAAGTGATTTATCAATACATATCGCGGCACTGGTATTGTGTACCATCTCTACGGCACATACATCTCTGTACAGCCCATACACCACAGCCAGCCATACATTTATTGTATAAATAGATTTTCAAACTAGTATATAAAGTTGAGAGCGAGAATATACTGTTAAATAAAAAATTTGAAAAATTTTTATGACTCTCTCGTTAGCGTTAGGCACTACTGGTAGAGTATAGGAACTGTAGGTTTGTGGGCACTGGATGCTGCATGTATGTGTGTGCTTATCAGTTTACATACGCTCCATTTCACAAATTCGTAATTTAGATTTTTAGATTGGCTTTTAATAATAGGCACAACATTTAGACATTGATTTTATAGCCATAACACACACACTGAGCCACATCTACCCTAAAATACAACTGTATCTCAAAAACTTATATTTCATTACTCTTTATAGCGTTTTTAATATTACACTTAAATTGTATTACAGAATAAACAGAATATTATTTTCAATGCAAATCACGTAAAACTATTTATAAGGGAAGGAGAGGGAAAGGGTGTTAAAAATATTTAAATATTTATGTTTCATAAAACATTTTGTAAACAATTTTCTCCCCGAAGCAAAAACTCTTTAAAAACATAAAATGAATATTCAAAACAAGTGCAATCAATACACATACATACCGGTGCTCTTAACCGCTCATTTATCCACACAATAAAACATTTTGTAAACAATTTTCTCCCCGAAGCAAAAACTCTTTAAAAACATAAATGAATATTCAAAACAAGTGCAATCAATACACATACATACCGGTGCTCTTAACCGCTCATTTATCCACACATTGGGAACAGTTGAGGGCTGACGACGGCATCAGCTTATGATTCGTTGACGACTTCTCCATCATTTCCGACACATGAGTGCCGTTGCTATTCATGTTGGACATGGAGTTAGGCGGGGGGTGTGGGGGCGGCGGTGGGCTGTTAGCGTAGTTGGCGGTCGTGTTATTGTTAAGGTTGGCAATGGATTGTGCAGTCATTGCATGCAATTCTTGGCTGAAGTGCGCGTGCAATGAGGGCAGGGATGCCGCCGCTGTACAGGTGGCTGCCATACCCGGTGGCATCGGTACGCCCGACTGATTCATGTATACGATTATTCTCCGGAGTTCCTCCAATGCGTTACCCTTTCGTACAAAACAATTAAATTATTAATTATTAATGAAATTATTAATATATTTTTCTCTAAATTAAACTTATTTTACTTTATATTTAAATTAATTATTATATGTATTGAATGTTTAATTTTAATGAATAATTAAATAGTGTTAAATTAGCTAATATACAATGAACTTAATAACTTTTTTGTTGAACATAATGATTTAAAAAACTCAAAAAGGATATGGACTATTATGAAAAGTATGATAATTTATTTGTAAGTACAGTATTTAGGATATGATTATAAGCTGTAATAAATTATTGAGTATAAATACTCTATGATTATATAAAACAAATATAATTTTACAATTGGACAACACCACATCAGGAGTATCGTATATTAAACAAGGTTCAATAGTTTTAATTTTTTCATTGTGCTAAATTTATACTGAATTAAATTTTATTTAATTTATTGATTACTGTATTTGAAAAGCACCAGAGTACAAGAGACATAAAACAGATTATAAATTATGTCAAATAAAACTATTTTTCATATTCATATTCTTTATAACTTTTTCAAGAGTATCATTAAAGTTATGAGTATTGCATGCAATGTGAGCCATACCTGCATTAGTATATAATTCTTGGCCAACAATAAAGTTGCGATTTTAGACAATTTGCGGACAGACGGCGAGTGGGCGTACGGTATGACTGTCCGCAGCTCATCCAACGCGTCGTTCAGGTCATGCATACGACGTCTTTCCCTCGCGTTTATGTTGAGTCGGATGTGCTGTCGGAGCATAGATTTCAATACAAACTTTTTAACCACATTTTAATCACCAAAACAACACCAAAACGCACAAAACAAAACTTTTCAAAACTTTACGCAAACAAAACAAAACAAACTAAACACACAATACGATTGAGTCCCTAATTAAGAGCACTGTTAGCTGTTCAGCGGTGGGTAAGCTGTCAGCCCATACACTGAATGATTAAGCAGTTGTTAATAAGGGGGATGGGATATGGGATGTCAATAAATGCTAACCACGGATAGCACTTACAGTTTTGCCGAGTCGGTGCTTCTTAGGCGAGGCATTACATCTGTTTTTATTGCCATTCATTAGACTATTTTCCTGCTCTTTGGCGGCGAAAGACGGATCCAATCCCTTACCGCCGGCGCCCACATAATGAGCCTGTGCTTGAATGGCACGCTTTAGGGTAAACAACTTATTGTCTTCGGGAGCTGAGGTGATACTATCCTCGGTGTGGTAGTGGTCACCATTACTGTCCCCATCAGTACTGGGCGCGGGTGAACTGAGGTCGGCGCTCATGGCCGCAGCCAATACGTTGGCATTTAATGGTGTCATACCTTCGGTCAGCGACGACAACATGGACTGATGGTGGGACTGGTGGTGCGTGGGGTCGGGCGCTGGTATGCGATGGTGGTGGCTGTGGAGCATAGCTGCCGCGGGACTGATGCCAAACGCCGAGCCCACGCGCGTGGCATTCAAGTGCTCGGCTAATACGGACGACACGTTAAACAAGCCGGAGTAGGGCGAGCACTGGGAGCTGTGGTGGTGGTGCTGGTACTGAGACATCTGTTGTGCCGCTGATGCCTGTCCTGCCGTCAGTCCTGTCAGTGTGCGGACCGCAGATGGGCTGAAGCCACTCGTCAATGACTCCGCACTGATTGCCGTCGACTCCATCATCACTGCCTACTCCTCCTCCTACTCCCAGTCCTCCCTTTCCCCTCTCACTCGCGCTCTCCTCTGGCTCTCGAAAACGTAATCAATTATAATGTGTTTGAAATCCAAAAGTCGGTGTTTCGCTGATAGGAAATCCCAACACTTTTTATACTCTATTCTACTTTTCAATTCATTTACACATTTGTTGTGTTGAGAGCTCTTAGAGAGTGGAAAAGCAGTCAAAATAATAGACACACAGAATATTCTGTACAATAAAAAAATATAGTTACGAAACAACTGTTTTGCCACTTATATAGTGAAGTCTCACTGAATAAAAGAGTTTTCTGACTCTCAGTCAATAGTTAAGTGACTTTTCAATAATTATCGACACAATAGGTTAGCCGTGAATGGATGGAAGAGTGTAAAAATGATTGCAATGTATGCCATACACTGAACAAGAATAGCACAGACGTGTGACTATGCATTAAATACCGTTCCATAAGTGGTTGGTTCTGTCAGTACAGCACCAGTAGTTTTCTGCGATACGCTATTATAGGTCTATAAAAACCCGGAGCGCATCTTCGCACACATACTAAAGGGACTTACAGTTCATAATCTGATATAAGAAACAATTTTTTTGTGTCAGTCTCTAAACTTAGATTACAGTTAAGGGGAGAGGGAGAGAGAGTGTGTGAGTGAGTGTATGTGTGGGCTATTAGTGTGCGGGAGGGGATGGATGGGGATGAGGAGCAAGTGGAGCGCATCCCAGCGCTGATACACAATAATAATTTGTCAGGACGTGAACCAAACCAATCAAACGGCACACAAAACGCAACGCGCAGCCAACCAATAGCTACATTTCCACTGTCAGCCCCCGTTCAGCACACGGCTAGGCATATAGCACCGGCAGCCCGTGCATGCGCTGCCTGCTTAATGATCAGGAAGACACTGCAAGTCCCTGTCCTCTCTCTCTCTCTCTCTCTCTCTCAATCCCTGTCCGCAAATCCCTGGGCGACGATCTAGTGGTCAGTGATTGAAAGGCGTATAAAAGGAAAGTTTAATTGAATTTATTGGCAATAAGTAAAGCAAAAGATTAATTGAGAGACAGATAAGTGGCGGACAAACATGTAAGAGATCATTGGGTGGGGATTTGTCGGGAACTGTTAGACTCGGCTTAAGTGTATCAACTCGAGAGAGGGAGGGAGAGAGTGAGAGAGAGATAAACACAATTGATTTGAACCGGAGTTTAACAGCAGTTGTATTGCTGTTTATATTATGTTTGAATGTTTTTTCTGTGTTTTTCATATCCAATAGAAAACACTAAACACTTGTGTATATCACGAGTGGGAATCAGATTCCCGGCAAATATCTTAAGCGTTCTCTATATCTCTTAAATACAATTTTGTTTTCACACTTAATGGTTGTTTGAGATTTGAGTAAATCTTTTATTGTATTTAGAAAATGAATTTATTCTGTCTATTAAGTGCACATGATATACAGTACACAGTTATATAAAACATATAATATATGATGGTAAAAAACTTAAGATTTATTATACGTTTAATAATGAGATTTTGTGGCATAATATTGTGTTATCACTACGAGAATTGAATTGTCTGTTTGAGTCGATAGAGTGTATGATTTGATTTGAATGCATACAACAAACACACATATCTGTCATACGATAACAGGGAATGAAAACTTTCTGCTAGCTATTTGTAGTTTAGCTCTCTCTCTCTCTCTCTCTCTCTCACTCTCTCTCTCGCTGGCACTTAAATCACATTAATATGTGTAACACTTTTCTCAATTGTCGGCTCAATTCATACGTAACGGTGCCGTTAAAAGAGGATACCATTCCTGTATGAATGACTAATACTGAAACTGATTTAGTATTTAAATTATAAGATTTGGCGTGAAGTGTAACACACCATACAATTAGACAGAGAGTGAGACTATCTATGGTTATGATAGCGATGGCAATCCGATACGCACTGGTAGTGTAACATTTCCCACGATTACAAACAAGACTACAGTAAAACCATTGATTACTTTCGTTCATATCTCTCAATCTCTATCATCCCATTCCCCACTCATTCCGCAAACTATTCATTATTTTATGCGATTTTTATTTGCGAGAAAACCGGAGACACAAAAACGAGTAACTCTTTTGTGAATTGAATTTCAAAAGCAAAGATAAGTATAAATAAAATTAAATAACATTAGAGTTAAAGCAATAAACAAATTAAAGCAATGAGTATAACATATAAAAGCCAATCATCGGATAATAGGACTAACACTACGGCACAGACAGTGAATAACAATTGTTCAGTAGTTTTGTTGTATACGAGGGGATTGCCTACGAAATCAAAGCAAAAGTTTGTTTTCAATCCGAAAACAGTAATTCAGGAACTGGAGCCTACAAAACAGGATTAACACTAAAGCGGATTTGATTACAATATACGGCACGGCATCGATCCGTATTCACCGCAATATTCATTCACCGGCACATACAGCACAGGGAGAGCACCGTTACTCTCAATTGAAAGCGAGAGTGACAGACACAGAGCATAGAGAGCCCGTCCACCTGTTAACTCGCTTTTCATTGCTTTTTGGTTAGCGTTTGATTTGAATCCAATGCCAAAATTTTCTACTATTTAAAAGTTAACAGATGTGAAGAGAGCACCGGCACTACAATACGCGACACAATGCGCTATACATACAGAGCACCGGCATATAGTTGGAGGACCCGGTGATGAGGAGCACAAGTGCTTTTGTATCGAAACTATTCATTTTCCATAACAATACACGCCAACCAAACTTAGGGTTAACTTTGCCTATTGAATGCTTGTGCCACTCGGGACCCCAACATACAGTTCCTCTCTATCTGGCTTCCCTATTGCCTCCCTGTCCTAAAGCCTCAACACATTGACCAACAATTTTAATGGCATTCGACATATGGCTCAAGTATTATCTCTACGTTTTCGCTAACAATTTAATTATTCATTTAATAATAGCTCGCAAATACATATCTCGTAAAAATCAATATTTAATAAAAATCTGCGTAAAAAATAAATTTTAAATACATTTTAACATACAATTCATAGACCTTTTTTATGTTCACAATATGTTTGCATACAGTATATAATATTTTAACAAACATTTGGTTCGCTTTTGATCTGAACCTCGCTTTCGGTCTTAGTCTCAGCGCTACTTAACTGATGATTGCGTTTATGTCTTAGTATTTGAGTCGATGTTAATAATAATTTTTGCTGACATTCCGTACAGTTGTAGAGAATCTTTAAGGGGTCGTAGGCCTGGGATTGTATGGCGTCATCACTACCATCGCCATCATCAGCATTGTTATCAAGTGAACCATCAGTTTTGATAATGGGTTTACACTTCTCGGAGTGTCTGATCCGATCTAAAGGAGTCGATGACATCTCTTGGCCACACGTCTCGCACTTCCACTTCTTTTTCATTAGATTTTGTGTCGATTGCGAGTGACTGGACACCAGACTACACGACAACACAATCAATAGATAATTAAATTTTAATTAAAGCTAAACCTTACAGACATTCTCAACGGAATAAAAATCAATAAAATCCTATTAAATGCTACTTTGAGCTAATTTTTAATTAAGTTTACAAAATAAAAGCTTAGTTTACGAAATAAATAAAACAATTAATTACTCAACTATTTAACTAAATGTATTTATTAATAGTCATCAGCACTCATTTTATATTGATTTATGCGTTTAATAGCTTAAGAAAATATTCATAAATATCAGCGAGAAATACAAATGAGTTTCTTATCCTTTGATACAAACAATAGATTCTCAAAGAAATCAATTCTCGAAATGAATTCAACAAAAAATAAAGTGTTTTCAGTCAAAAAAAATGTATTCAATGTTTTATCCCAGAAATCAATACAAAAAAAGACAAACGAAATAAAAGTTTGAACAGAAATACCAGTTGTATGTGAGATATGGTCTGATCTGTAGACCGCCTTTAATGGGATGAACGGTGTAGTCGTCGCTGTGGTGTCGGTTCGCGCAGTCATTGAACTGTTTATTGCGCTGAAGATGTTTGGTGAGCGACAGTTCCTCATCGCTGCGACCCATATATAAGTCCTTAATATCGGCCGCCAATAGGCGTCTTATCTTAAACGAGATGTCGGTGCGAATGAAACTGTAGATACACTTCACTAATTGGCTTCGCATTCGGCGCACATCCGCATCGTCTCTAACGCCCGACCCATCCGTCTCGCCATCATTGCTCACAAAACACTCTGAATGGCGAACAGAATCACAGAATCATAAGAAATAACAGAATATTCTGTGTATTATATTTCGGGAAAAGTTAGCGACAAAAACAAATGCCAAACAAATTTTACGCCAAAATTAAGACATTTATCTCGAGAGATGACACAAACGTAAATCGATTACAATATTTTGTCCATTAAAACACCAGTGCCTCTAGAGGTGAGGGCACAGGGAGGTGGAAGGGGATAGTAAATATTTTAATTCATACAGAATCTGAGATATATAGTTGGAAAACAGTGTTTAGGGAATATGTGCGACAAAATTCTGTATCATTTGTATTCACCCAAAGTGTTGACTCTACTATACATTGTCTGCCACCCCCTGCCAGCCCCCAGAGAAAGACATGACTGATATAAACGCAATGCATATCTTATTATTAATAGTAGTAAAAGTGTCAAAAATGAGAGGCTGGAGAGGGATGGGATGCTAGTGCTCTGTATGTGTTGTCAAGTCTTACCAGAAAACAGTTTATGCAATAACTGTAGCCATAAATCACGGACTTCTAACGCTTGAGATATGAACTGCTGTGAGGACAGGCTGTTTGCGAATTGCAATTCTAGCCAACCGTCGCATACGATTCTGTAGCCATTGGTTGAGAAATGAGAAATCAATGCAATTTAGTTTCGCACTTAAAAATACACTCGTATTGTGAGTTATGTCTTCAAAAATGCATTACAAATGGAAAATAGAGTAAAATAAACAGAAATTGATGTTTTAGTTGTTTAGTTGTACACAATAGTGGGAGAGAGAGAGAGAGAGAGAGCTTAAGCATGAAGAGAGTATTTATTGATAAATAATTTGCGAATAGCTTTCACTATAAATTTAATGTATTTATCGATGAATAGCTTTGAACTTATTTATCCATAAAATTAATGTCTATAATGTGTTGATCGGAAAAAGCTATACTAAAAAGCTATAAGTTTAGTGCAAATTCAAGTGAATATAAAATCTACGCAATGGTTGGGTCGACAAACCTGGAGAAGTCGTGGTTAGTGTCGATAGCGTTGGACACGAGCAGCAGTACGTGCGCCGACGGAATGCGAACACAATTACATAAATAGGGTTTCGTTGTCTCCAGTAATGATACATAAGCTATGAGTTGATGGCTGGAGCTTATCATATCGGGATCATCACCGGACCTATCATTCAGTCTTAGCAGATCTGGCTCTAAGGCAAACACACCATTCGGATGGAGTGTCACAAATGGTTTGTCCTTTAATTAGATTTAACGGAAAGTCCATAAAAATTGTGTCCAAAAAAACATTTGCATAAAACCTAACAGCGCTCTCATCGGCCATACCTTTGTGTGGAACATCTGATCGGAATCGGTTTTGTATGAGTTATGGTCGTCGCCTATAGCCAACTGCGGGTGCAGTCCATTGCATAGTATTAACTTCATTAGCGTAATGTCCCGATGGCTGTACCCTCGGCTGGCGTCCCTCAATGCCTGACGAAAGTGAGACGAATAGCCGATTAGACACAGACATCAATGCACAGCATTCTCATCGACTCGAGTGTCGGAGCCCTACCACCCAAAGCCTCTCAAGGCTCCGGCAGATTATTGTCTATCACTGAACCCCTAATCTATCACTTCGTAGATCACTTAGCGCTAGAAAATATTAGCCCCACAAAAAACTACCAGTTCTTTATGTCAGAGTCGAGTGGGGGAGGGCTTAGAGAGTCATATAAAGTAATGTTTTTTATACAATACTTAGGGAACCGGGAGTTTAGCTATGCCTTTCACTTACTGTAAGCCCGGAATATAAAGCATAACTACTTATATAATATCGCGTTTGCCATACATTTCAAGCATAAAATCATTAAATCGATTAATACCTGCACTTGTCTTCGGTCGTGGGATAATCGGAACTCCACGTCCTTCACATCGACTTGCGGCTCACCCTCCCTGTCCTCGTCATCCCCGTCCCCGAAGGCCTCCATTTTCAACATTTTCCTCCGTTTCGGCGCTTTTCTATCAAACTCTCGCTTCAATTGTCTCAACTGTTTTAACTCTCCGTGTCGTCGGATCCGATCAGCGCTGGACTCAAAACTACTGACATCTCTAACACCGTATCCGGAGGCGCCGCTATCCAAAAGACCCGTCTCTTTCAGTATATCCTTAAACTGTTGCCTCAATTTCGTCATCTCGTAGAAGCGTTGCTCTTCGAGACCTTTTCGGCGGCACCACTGCTTCGAGTTCTGCTGATCTGACTTCACTTCAAGCCATTTGTTGTACGCATTCAATAGCGTGAAGGGATCGCCTTCTGTCGACTGCAGGGAACGTCTACCCTCTATGGCGTCCCTATCGTGAATGGATTGGTTAGTGATGGGCGACTGGACGCTGAGCGCCGCCGCCAACGACAGTATGGGTTCTGTTAAGTCGAAAACCGACGAAAGAATCAACATTTTGCCGATCGTTATGTCGACCGGCAGTCGGGCCAGCATTTTGCCCATCGGTGTCAGCGCCTCGTCCTCCGTGAGCGCCGACTGCTCCTTAAGACTACGTATGGCCTCCTCGACACTCTTGAGCGCCGGCGGCTCCAGGAATGGGAACTTCCGGGCGTCCGGCAGACCCATGGATATCATCTGCAGGAGAAGCGACTGCAGCGGCACCCGACGTATCTCCGGCTCACTGTGCGCTTTGAATGCCTTAAAGTCTGCCTCAGAGTAGAGCCTATAGCAGACTCCCGGACCCGTACGGCCAGCCCTACCCTTGCGCTGCTCTGCGGATGCAGTACTGATCCAAAACTCCTGCAGTCTTTGCATCCGACAACTCGTATCGAAACTCATTTCCTTGACTTTCCCGGAATCGCACACAAACCTAATGCCATCGATGGTGAGCGACGTCTCGGCGATATTTGTCGACAAAATACACTTCCGGACGCCTTCTGGCGCGACATCAAACACTTTGTCCTGTTCTGCGATCGAGAGAGTGCTGTGGAGGTAGAGAACGATCCACTTCTGGCTCTCTTTGGCGTAGTCTTTGAGCAGATCCCCCACGGAATTGATTTCAGACAAACCGCTCAAAAACACCAACAAATCACCCCTTTCTTTGGCGGCGTACTTGTCGTCAATCATCTGAAGTATCCGCAGGTAAGGACTTCCATCGGTTCGCGACGACCTCTCCTTCGCCGAGAACTTCACTTTCGGTATCGGGAAGTACTGGACGTCTATGGGGTACAGGCGTCCCGGCACTTGGATAACCGGACAGTCGCCGAAGTAGTGACTGAATAGCTCTATATTAATGGTCGCCGACATGAGTATGACTTTAAGGTCGTGCGAGCGCCGGTGTATCAGACACTTCATGACCCCTAACAGGAAGTCGCACGACAGGTGCCGCTCGTGCACCTCATCCAAGATAATCACGTTATAGTTCTGAAGCATGGGATCGGTGGTCACCTGACGCAGGAGTAGGCCTTCCGTGAGGA